CACACACTCTCACACACACGCACACACACTCTCACACACACACACACACACACACACACATATGTCTGGTTTGCTATCCTTGTGGGGACTCTCCATAGGCGTAATGGTTTTTCTACTGTACAGACCGTATATTCTATTGCCCTACACCAACCCTACCCCTAAACCTACCCCTCACAGGAAACTTTCTGCATTTTTAGATTTTCAAAAAACTTCATTCTGTGTGATTTATTAGCTTGTTTACCCATGGGGACCTCAATTTAGGTCCCCACCGTGACACGAGTCCTCATGAGTCTGTGTGTATATATATATTCAGGTTTAAGTCCCCACCAGAATAGAAAAACAGGTACACACACACACACACCCACACCCCCCCTTTACCCATTTATAAACTCTGGTAACGTTATACTTTTGAAAGGTAATAAAGATAGCGATTTTCTTACCTGATTCTGCCCGTATGTTTGCAGGACCTCGCAGATCACATCTGACCCTGTGTTCACATTCCAGTTTTTGTTCTCCGTTGACATGTCACGCGACTCAAATTCACTCAAAATAAAAATTTAACAGGCAAATATAAAATAATTCGGGACCGACCGAGCAGTTTCAATGAGCAGCCCTAGATAGCAGACCAACACTGAATCAATGTTAATGCATCAATCAAATTATCATTGAATCAGTGTTGAAATTTAACATTGATTTTTCGTCAGCTTTGCACCCTGAAATGATGTTATTTCAATGATGAAAAATAGATCAAGATGGTCATAAAATCAACATTTCTTCAACTTAAATTAAATAACTTATTTAACATTGAATCAACATAGAAACATTATCAAATCAAACCTGCTTTTTACTCCTTTTAATCAGAGAACATGCAGGACTGCAATTAATATGGTTTTGAATCAAAAAGTCAACAACATCCTTCAGTTTACATGCAAATATATTTATTTTTGCCCCACACTATTTGAACAGGAAAATAACATTACATTCAGGTAAAACAAACAAAAAAAAAACACTTTGTGGTGACTTCAAAACATATGCCAGGATTCACAGACAGGGCTTAGCTTAAGCCAGGACTAGGCCTTAGTTAAATTAAGATATTTAAATGGCTTTTATAAAAATGCCCCCCCCCAAAAAAAACATTACTGGTGTGCATCTTGAGACAAAGCAATGGCAATGGCATTTTAAGATCTGTTGGAGCAAGTTATTTTCAATTAAGACAGCTCAAACATGCATTTTAGTCTGGGACTAGCCTTGTGAAACTGGGGGACAGAGCTTAAAATACAATGTACGTACAGAATATGATAAAATGAATGACAAAGTGACTTAAACAAATACATGGAACAGTTAATTCTGAATTATAAAGCAAATGCCAGGAGAAGAGCCTGTAAAACTTACAACATATTACAAATGCAACCTGCATCTGCAAAATTGAAGTAAATACAAATGAAAACTCACCATCAAAGGCAGAAACACTAAAGTACCACAGACCGAAACATTACCAGTTTGCTGTTCAGGACTTGAAGCTTTTCATGGATCGAAGCTACTTTTCTGATTTAAAAAAGACATCCTTGCTCCTCATTAAACGGATAGTCTGATGAACTCAGGGCTTTCCACCACAAGGCAATGCCCACAAGCCGTTCAGCACCACAACGGAGCCATTTTTGCATGGTCACAGCAAAGATAATCTCTGAGGCCTCCTTTTTCTCAGCTTTCACTTCTTGTTGTAAGGCATCTAAAGTATAAAAACAAACAGGATGTTAAAACTGCACAATGCTGTAAAACATTTGATTGGTAGTAGTGTATAACTGAAAGAAGGTGGGTCCTAAATATTTGGAAATGTGACTTAGTGTACAACAAAATTAAGTGCAAATTGACATTAGCTCTAGTTTACATTCAAGTTAAATCAGGGTGGATTCAAATTTAAGACTATTTAATTAATTTTAATATAGAAATACTTACATATTACTTTGAAACCCTTAAAGGGGTCATATGATGCGATTTCTTGTTTTCCTTTTCTTTAGTGTGTTATGTAGCTGTTTGTGCATGTATCAGATCTGCAGAGTTACAAAGCTCAAAGTCTCCCACAAAAGGATTTATTCTATCTAAAAGAGGAGGTTGATCCAGACCGGGCTAAAAAAGAAAAAGAAAAAATAGATGTATGTTTTGTTATTAATTTAAGTAGTCAGCTGTCTTAACCGCGGCTTGTGTACTGCATCATCACTGTCTGTCACGTGACTCTGTTCCCCTTTCGGACCTGAACTGATGGTAAAACTAACCACATTATATTTATGTCTTTATATTTACTTTGAAAACTAAAGCTCGCGATTATAGTAAGGGGCGTTGCATTTCCGACGTGCTCTTGTGGTGTTCGGCGTGCTTTCTCAGTCAGTGTCGGCTGCAAAGATGAAGTTGCCGAATGCCAGCACTGACTCGCATCTCCACAAAGGACGTGCCTTTATAATCAGAGAAGATTAGTTTCTTATTTTAATTGGTTTTCAAGCTTTCTGCAGATTTATTAATTATGTCTGTGAGCTGGTATATTGTTGTGATGCGCTCCATTCATGGAGACTGCATGAGACGACAGAAAGCACATCCAAAAATGACGGGAGTAGGCTATTTTAAGTTCTTTCCACAAGAAAAATAAATAAATAATGATTGCGCGGGTGCCCCCATGTCATACAGTAAGCCCGATAATACTCCCACACTCCTCATTAACATTTGAAATGCGCTTATATAGCGATTTTATTATTCATATAAAAAATAATAATAATAACAACCTGTTTTGGTCATATTTACTATTAATTGCCCATTGATCTAGCACCCCCTCAGCACCTGCAATTCTCTGGCGCCGCCCCTGTGTGTGCTCATTACCTGCGGAGGTGTAGGTGTGGAGACATTGCGACCTGCTGACATGATCTCTTCTGTGATGTCACGTCCTCCCTGATTAGGGTCAAAGATCCTGATCTAGAGAGAGACATTTAGCACACGTAACAGAAGAAATGAGAACATGGCTGAGAGAGAGAGAGAGAGAGAGAGATTAACATGCAGCACATGGAAAAGACTAAAGCACAAATAAGTCACGATATAAACAAGAGAAAAACAACAACAGTGAGTGATTTAACCCAAGAAGCATTTCTCAGTGCTGTCTCTGACAAACACACACACACACACACACACACACACACAGTGCAGCACCTTATAAAGACGTAAATGCACAACAGCCTGGAAACTTTCCTCACACAAACTCAAATCTGACTGTCCAACTTATCTGCACTTTACGCAATGAATCGCCAGCTCTCCGAGGCACACAAACACACACACACACACACACGTGCGCGCGCACATGAGGCAGCACATTCGGACGGAGAGGTTGAGTTTTGCTAGGCCCGGCTCATCCTGGGGCTGGAGTTTAAACTCAGCCTAACTTGGACACACTAAAGTGAGCAGCACATTCACACACGGTCTGGGCCGACGTGGGCCTCAAACTCTCAGGAGAGGAGGGAAGGAAAACACACACACAGAGAGAGAGAGAGAGAGAGAGAGAGAGAGAGCCACGTGGAGCGACAGAACTGAACTGAATGATCTAAAGTGACTCTGAAGACATTTAGAATGTTTCAAAAGATTTCTATTTCTAATAAATGCTGTTCTTTTGAACTTTCTATTCATCTGTGAATCCTGAAAAATAAAATGCAAACATTAACTGTTTTCAACATTGATAATAATAATAATTGTTTCTTGAGCAGCAAATCAGCATATTATACTGATTTCTGAAGATCATGTGACACTGAAGACTGGAGTAATGATGCTGAAAATACAGCTGCAGATCACAGAAATAAATTACATTTTAACATAGATTCAGATAGAAAACAGTTATTTTAAACCGTAATATTTCACAATTGTTACTGTATTTTTAATCAAATAAATGCAATCTTGGTGAGCAGAAGAGACTTACTACACATTTTTCTACTAATTCTACTTAAAAAAAAAAAAAACGAAAATAAACCAGATTATCAGTCACTGCTCAGAATTAAACGCAATCAACATTAAAACTGATTCTGAACCACTCAGCTTTATGACAGTCAATCGTTGTTTGAGGATACCATAAAAATAAAATAGAAATAAAAACAAAATTCTCTTTTCAAACTAGCATTTATTAACTCCAAATACAGCTCAAGCTAAAATTAACGTTTGGATGAATAATTCAAATTTTTGATTATTTTAAGTTTTTCCATCTAATATTCCTATTTTATTTCAGCTTTATTTAAATTAACAAAATGTTTTTAATAGTTTTAATATTAGGTAATAATCCTGGTTGCAGTCAGTGTTGGGTCAGTTACTCAAAAAAAGTCAATTAATTACTAGTTACTAATTACATCTTCAACAGTATAATTAGATTACTGTACTAATTACTCTCTCTAAAAAGTACTGAATTACTTATTACTAATTATTTTCAACAGTATATCCCACACCAGCCTTGACCAGTTGAACAAAAAAAGACATGAAACTGCTCATTTAATTTTTTTTTCAAAGAAATAATATAAAATTGCATACATTATTCTTAAACTGACCAAAGTATTAAAGAGAGAAGGTTACATTAAAAACATACGTTTTAACATTAGATGTTAAATTTTGATGTTACATCTACAGTTGTTTTTATATACAAATGTCTTAACTCTAGGAGTAACTGTAATTAAATTACATAAAAATTAAGTAGTAAGCCTTGCTTCAAAGGAAAATCTTACTTTCTAGGGAAAAGTAAATAAATTAATGAATGACTTAGTAATGCATCACATTCGCACCCAACCCTGCAGTTCTCTCTCTCTTTTCTCCTCCTCTCTTCGTTCTCCCTCCTCTCTATCAGTTTCTATTCCTCTGAAATGAAACCTCACTGACGGCCGAGAGCGAGACTCGAGGACTCAAAGTCCACCGGTCCAGCTGTGAGCTTCCAGAAAGCCTGATAACAGCACACTAACACATCACATACTAATCCGCTGATGCTAAAAAAAACCCATTAAACTATTCAAAATTGATGATTATAAGTAAAGAAACAATGTGGCTTAAATTTACTGCAAAATAACCAGACGAGTACAAATATCTAAGTGTAATGAGACACGATTATGTCATTTGCAGAGCACAGCAGATCTATGATTGATGGATATTTCTCCACAGAATCAATGGGTAACGCAGTTCTTCAGCAGAAATCGAATTAAATGTAATTCTTTTAAAAATGAAGACGTAATAACGCAGAGTGATGGCTTCAACAGACGTATATATAATTGATAAACAAGTTGTAAGTTCATGTTAAACATCTATTTGGTGAAAATGAACAGGAATTTTACTTTTAGAGCCCGAGTTTTGCATTCAATGCTGTCACCATGGAGATGAACCCATCATCATGGCAACAGAAATTCTAATTCTGAGGTTCCTCCTTTGATGCGTCTGATCAGATTGTATCATTGCGTTTGAAAACATTCTCTAAAAACCCAACGCTTTGATTTAGCGGATCTTTAAAATCAGCTCCCTGAGCTCAACATGACGATCAGGTCTGAGAGCGACAAACTAGTGATGCACTGAAATTAATATTTTACTGAATCTGAAATTAAAGTTTTAATTTAGTTGAAAGACGTTTATTTAAAAAAAAAAACAATTAATGAATACATTTATTATTTATTTCAAAACTTGAAATTATTAATCTCAAAACTGTTATATAACTTCACTTAAATTACACACAAGGCGTTTTTATATCAACTTCTTTGGGAAATAACTGTTTCTACTTTAAATCATGGTTAAAATATAAACATTTAAACAGTGGCTGTAATAAATATGTTTTCATTAAAAGATTTATTCAAACATACATTGGATAATGATGACAACAGGTTAAGTAAAAATAGAATGAATATGTAATCAGTCAATGATTTCGACACTCCAAAACTATTTTGTCAGAAACCGAAAATTTATTTTTGGCCGAATATTTTTGGTTGCCGATATTTTGGTGCATCACTAGGACAAACCAAACCAAAAGCTATTAAAATGCATCCAAAACACAAGAAACCACCATCCAAAGACAGCCTCAGGAAAACTAATTATGTTGAAAATGTTAAACACAAGGCGTTTTTATATCAACTTCTTGGGGAAATAACGGTTTCTACTTTAAATCATGGTTAAAATATAAACATTTAAACAGTGGCTGTAATAAATATGTTTTCATTAAAAGATTTATTCAAACATACATTGGATAATGATGACAACAGGTGCATCCATGCATCCAAAACACAAGAAACCACCATCCAAAGACAGCCTCAGAAAACAAATTAATTCGAAAATGTTAAGTAAAAATATTCAGGTGAAGAATCAAAAAAAGAAAGAAATTCAATAAAATTAATTAAATATTAGAAAGAGAAAAAGAATAAAGAAAACCAAATAGAAAAATTAAAATTAATTGAATATAAGAAATAAAAATAAATAAATGAAAAATAAAGGAAGAAAGAAAAACAAAGATAAAGAAAAAAGAAAAAGAAATAAAAGAGATTAAGAAGATTATATAATTAAAAACAAATAAATCTACACAAAGAACGAAAATTAGAAAAAAAAAACCATGAAAAAAATCTTTGCAAACGGTTCAGAAACAGGAAAGTGTCACGAATCCGGTTCATGGACTTACGTCCGATTGCCACCAGAGGTCGCCCTTCCATCATATTGACTTTCACACTGCACAGACTGTTACACTATACCCTGGACTGCATTTCCCATCATCCATTGCACTGATTGCACACAGCTGTAGCCAATCACTCACACACTATATTACACCCACTCAGATCCTTCTCAAACTGCAGAGTATTGTGTAGCGTTTATCACTGTTTAGTTGATAGCTACTTTACGGAGCACCATGTTTATAACACCATGTTTGCATTTGTGATCGGAGAAACGACAGACAACAAGCACTACTCTACACTGCTCAAAACTCACTTTTGAATAGTAAGTAGCAAATTCTTTAAATAAGCAAACGTACTTACAGTCTGTGAGTCAGAAGCACCAGACTGTCCTTGCAAAGTTAGAATTGCCCCACTTTATAGAAACAGCCTTTGAGCACAGCCGGCATTGTAGTCTACTCTCCCAGGATCAGGAAACAGTCCTCCATAAAATGTGCTGCACACAGATTCCTAATTGCATCTACTTCCGGAAGGCCATAATAAAGTGCTTTTGCTTTCGCACTGAAACACACAGCGTCTCCCTGACATGCTGCATCAACACTACTGCTGTTCCTGAAACCACGCCTTCTTTCTTTGCGTGCTCATTTGGGCGGCATTATGCAAATATTTTCACATAGTGAGGTAGATATGTGGGGCGTGTTAGAACGAGCCGTTTTAGGTAGGCGTGGTTGACTCTTAACTTTTATAAAGAATATCTCTTTGGGTTTGAGACTTTAGTCTTTGCAACTTCAGGGATCTTATCTATGCACAATCAGCTTGTAACACTCCAAAGAGAAAGGAAAACTTGAAATCGCATCATATGACCCCTATAAAGAGGCATGAAATTAACAAATTCATCTGGATAGATACAGACATACGGTTCACTAGAGCAAATTATTATTTCAGAAATAAATTGCTGATAAAAATGTCAAATTAACAACCTTGAGTGCTTAATTTCTGATACAGTGAGAGATGCAAACCCAATGTACATGAGATAAAGAAATATTAGGAGAAAAACACATTCAAACAATGGCCACAGAAAGCACCGAAGCTCCAGATGCAGAAGACGGATGGATGCCTTACCTGCTTGCGTTCCCGTCTGCGCAGAGCTTGCTGCATTTGAGGGGGCGGTGCCTGCTGCTGCTGGGGGGCGGGGTTCATGATGATGGGTGCCGGGGCAAAAGAGGGTGTGAACTGGGGCTGGGCGTGGTAATACACCCCAGCTGGAAACAAAAATGCCACAAACGTCTCAGACTTTCTCAAAATGACAATCTGTGCAATCACCCAATTCAGATTCACAAATCTCTAGGATTCACCTGAGGTGAAATCTCACAAAACGCTGAACTGTCAGTGATTCTTATCCTGGTAAACGCGTACACACACACACACAGCACCCTCCTTTAGCAAACACACAATCTGTCACACCCAAATTTATATGTGAACTGCATACACCATAATGACAAAGCAAAGAACAGGTTTTTAACATCTTTGCAAATTTATTACAAATAAAAAACTTAAATGAATCCATTGCATAAGTAATCATACCCTTATCTGGGACAGCTGAAATTTAGCTCAGGAGCATTCATTTTGCTTGTAGATGTTACAACACTTCGAGTGAAGTTAACCTGTGGCAAATTCAATTGAATGGGTATGATTTGGAAAGGCACACACATCTTATTAAAAGGTTTAACAGCTGAAGATGCATATCAGGGCAAAAACCAAGCCCTGAGGTAAAAAACTGCCTGTAGAGCTCAGAAACAGGTCTGTGTCAAGCCACACATCTGGGGAA